TTCTGAAATAGCAGGCCTCTCAAAACCCTATGCAGAACAGAACACACAGATTCATCCTAGAGAGGTTTAAACCAAGCTATTCCTTGGAGGCAAGGATTCTGGGCCTTCGTCTGACATACTTTGGATATGTTGTAAGGAGAGACAAGTCCTTGGAGAGGGACATCATGCTTGGTAGGGTAGAGGGACAGCGCAGGAGGGGAAGAGCCTCTAGGAGGTGGATTGATTAAGTGACTAGGGTAATCGGGATGGGTGTGTCAGAGACAGTGCGATTGGCACAGGATAGAGCAAGGTTTAGGGCTGTTGTACATAGGGTCGCTGTGAGTCGCAAGCGACTCGACGGCACATAACAACAATGTCCTTCTAAATTTTCTCATGCTTTCTTCTTGTAATGTCTTCAGCAATTTGTGCTTCTTTAAAACCAGATAGCACATATTTAACAATGAGCATATGCCTGGGAACTGTCAGTAATTCTTTGGTATTTATGAACACTATTATCTCTCCAGTTACATTTTAAATCCAAGCGTGAGACCATTTTTTTTCCATTTAAAACATACAACTTTATTGATGATATATAAATGAAGTCTTTGGTGGGTAAATTCAATTCAAAACAAATAATAGAAATGTAGGGTATTCACAATGTTGATTCATTCATACAGAGGAATCAGTAAAAATATTTTAATCCAAGCAGCACAATTTATGTCACAAATGTGTTTTTAGTACAATAGGATTATTTATTTGGTATTCATAAAATGGTTCATCTCAAAGCTGGAGACTATCACAGATATCATTACTCTGGATGATACATTATTCAAGACTGGCAGCTGGAAAGATCCCCTTACGGTATGATCAGAGGGAAAGGGGGAAGTAACTTTCAATTTTCAAGGCTTTCACATTGCAAAAACAAAGCATTGCTTCACGTTCTTTGAGAATACACAGCCAATCAGAATTTGTCCACTATTTTTATAACTTTCACTTTCACCAATAAGTCATGGTGATTTGCTAAGGCTCGAATTTTCTTAACACACACTCCAGATGCAGTGCACAAGTAGAAAAGGGATCCTTTATTGAACTCTCTGTAGTTGAATACCTCAGCTCTGAGATTGTCATAGATAATCTCAAACAGAGTAAGGGCATTAATAAGAATTTCTGACTCCACATAAGAATTATAGAGTGAACTAAAGGATGCTGGCACTTGGGTGCTGAGTAGTTTTTTTAGCATATCTGGATTCTCAGCAAAATTTGAAAGTATTTTCAAAATCTCAACCTTGATTTTGCCACCTCCCTGAGATAACAATCTGAAAAAGTTTGCAATGGAATTGACAAGTAGATGCTGGTAGTCATTAGTAATAGTCATGTTGGTCAAAAATTTCAGCCCAACTATCTGTACTGCTGAGTTCAGATTAGAGGCCATGATGTCATCCATCACTTTATTCATATATACCTGAAGCCGACCCTGATTTTCATAATTCTCACTCAGGTTGTTCATGACCATTAAGGCTTTTTCCTTAATGTGGGGGTCGGTTTTGTTGATCATGTTTGCAATGATGGGGAGGCCACCCAACTTGCGGATTGTGTCTTGGTTGCACGAATAATTGGCGTTGTTGCTCAGGGTGAGCAGAGCTACCTGTTGGATGAAAGGATCATCAGTTTTCTGAAGTAAAGTGAGGACTTTCTTGAGGTCTCGGGCACCCAGGATCTCATCTATTTCATAAGGAAAAGGGCGCTTTTGTATGTGAACAGGTCTTTTCCCCCTTCCCTTGTGGGTCTCAGGCTCAGAATCTGAGTCAGATTCTGTATCAGTCCATCCAGATTCCCCTTCCTCAGAATCAGGGATTTCTGCCAAGAAAGCCTGTCCCCCATTAGCTGAGGCTGCAGCAGCTACTGCAGCCCCATCTCCAGGGCGGAATCCCAACCCTAATTCGTCTATTTCAATTTTGTTTTTCTTGCCTTTGCCTCCACCACGGGACTTGTTTCCACCCTTGGATCCACCTTTGGGTACTGCTCCAGTTGCTGGCCCAGCCTTAGGGATAGCCCCAGTATGTGCCCCAGGGGTGGCTCTCTTAACTGTAGCTGGAACAGGAACTGCAGTTGTTTTAGAGAACCCAGAAATCCCAGGTACCTCTAAGGTCCGAGTAGGTGATGCTGCATGAGTAGATGCTGCTACCCTATGAGTCTCCACCACTTCAGTAAGTGCTGTCACTTTAAGAGCCTCCACTACCTCTGTAGACACTGCTGCAACCACCATAGGAACCTCCATTGCCCTCACAGCTTCTGCTGCCCCTGGATGCACAGCCAAGGAAGTCTCAGCTGCTCTGAGGGCCTCTGACAATTTTGGAGCCCCTGCCATTGGGGAATCCTCTGTAGTTCCCTGAGCCTTTGCCTGCCTGAGAGGTGGTGCCATTCCAGAAGGCACTACAGTTGTACTTACTGATTCAGTCTTAGGCACAGCCCTGGCCACATTAACCTCTTGGGCTTCACTCTGAGCCTTAGTACCAGCTGCAGCTGGGACCAGTGTCTTGGTTCCATCAGCATCCACTGCAAAGACTTCATCCTGGGCCCTGCTCTCCTCCCTAGCCAACGCTGGGTTTGGAGGGCCAAATACTGGCCCAAGGTCGATTGTGAACCCTGCCCTTGGACCAGCTCTAGCCCTGGCTCCAGTCCCAGCCATGACCCTTGGCTTGGCTTTGACTAGTCTTTTCTTCTTCTGGTCTCGTCCTCTGGAGTATTTGTACACACAGAGCCAGGCACCAGCCCCAATCACTATTCCTGCAGCCACATATCCAGCATCCCGAACTCGGCTCATGGTGCAGCTGATGTGATCTTCTGACCCAGGGTGCAGAAACGGCTTGCTCAACTGGGATGCGTGTGTGTCTAGACCAAGACTCTTCAGCTCAGACAACTAAATTCTGCCCAGGCAGCAAGCCGAGTAAGACCTAGGGAAACAAGACAATTGAGATATAGGATTCCAGATCACTTTGTGCCTACCCTGGCCCAATTCAAGTAGAGAGTGGAAACATAATGTTTGGTGGGGGGGATGTAGGTGTCAACGTTTGCTTTATGCTTATTTGTTTTTTACTGATATTTTATTATATTTGAAGGAGACAAAAGTCCTAAAAAGAACTGTGATTTTGATATTGAGAAAGTTTCAGAAGGCATCAAAATATGAAAGGCCTACTACATTTTACTTATTTTTATCAGGAAGACTTCATGATGTAGTGGAAATAAACCATGAATGGAACCCTGGGTAGGACAAATTGTATTGTGTTGGATTGCTATCCTAATGGTTGGCCATTTAAGTGTACCCAGAGGAGCCTGGTGGCTAACTGGAATCCTCCATACCTGCTAACCAAAAAGCTGTGCCTCTTTTACAGTTCAAATCCACCAGAAGCTCAGTAGAAAAGAGTTGGAATAGTCTTCTTCTGTTAATATTTACAACTTCAGAAACCGAATAGAGGGTTGTGAGGCATCATAATTGACTTAAAGGCAGTGAGATTTTGAGAGTAGTCTTGGAAGTGGCAGAGAGAAGAGAAGTCAGTCTGCTCACAGAGTAGTAATTTCATGGCAAAAAGGCATATTTTAGTCTTAATCCTGCCAACATGTAAAATGAGGAGCAGCTGAAGTGGCTTAGAATGACCCGCAGATACATTGGGGCATTGATAATTTCTTTTGGGTCCAAAGAACATTAGCAAATGCAAGACCAATTAAATTTAGAAGGGGCACAGCTAGATTTTCTACTCGGCCACTGCCCTCATTGATGAAAAGAGATACAACCCAGGAAAGATCAAATAACCTGAACAAAATTATAAAGCTTTTTGTTGGCAATATCAAGACAAGAGACCACTGTTGAGTGAACTTTGACTTATGGCAACCCCATGTGTGTCCAAATATAACATGCCCTATTGGATTTCCAGAGGCTGTTAAGTCTGAAGTATATTGCCAACCATTCTTCAAAGCTTGGTTTTGTTGCTTAATGATCCTGATTGTTCAGTGTTTCCTTTGTCCCTAGCCCACCCTTGCCCAACCTAATATACAATTTGGGGATGGTGGGGGATGGGAATGGATGGACATACTGTGTGCTCTGGACTACCAACTAAAGTTAAGTGATTGAAACTCACAGTGGCGCCTTGGATGAAATGCCTGGAGATCTGCTTCCTTAAAGATTCCAGCCAAGAATGCTCTATGGAACTCGGTTGTAATCTGTAACACACAGGGTCACAGTGAGTCAGAACCTAGTAGATGGCAATGGGTTTGGTATAAGTGGGGGATAAGAAGTATAGGTGTCAAGAAAGCTGTGGTGGAGAGCATGATAAGCAGAATAAATCCCAGATTCGGTTCTGATTCCTATTCCACCCTCCAACCTGCTATACACACAAACCTACTGAAATCAGGAGCAGTTTGCTCTTTTCCTTCCAAGTCTGTAGTTGTGCAGGGTTCAAGAGTTCAAAATACTTCCAGGCAGAACCCTCGATGAAAAGGGTATTCAATCTTTAGTAGTCTGACACCTGTCCCTTTGTGGATTTGAACCCAGTGGGTTGAGGTTTTCTCCCTCTCCAGGATCCTTTCCCTTTCCCTCTCCCTCCTCCTCCAACTATTTCCCAAGAAGGCTGATGCCACACCTCTTTCCCTGCACCAAAAAGGACGGGGGCGGGGCAAGGGTGCCCTGTTAAGAGTGGGAAGATGGAAGAGGAGGAGGAGCCTTTGCTTTCAGACTCGCTCTGGTTTCTGTCACACCCACTCCAAGGATTACTAGACAGTTCCCATCCTTCAACACTGACCTGCAAGGTTCGGTACACTTTATTCTTACTTCAGTTGAGTTAGAACTTTATGCAGACAGCAGACATTCGAGATTAAGTGCCTGGTGACTGGATCAGCACCCAGGACAAGAGTCATGAGAGCCTTTTGAAATTCACACACTAGAACTTTAAATGTTTCCACCTCTCATATTCCCTCAATTCTTCCCGACCCTCCCTTGACACCCTAATTCCCCCCTCCCGGGGCAGAATCCCCAAGCACTAAACCCCTCTTTCCACTCTGACCCGCCTCCTATCCGCCATTTCTCAGGGACTCGCCACCACCACACCCCTACTCCGCACTGAAGCGCGAGGGGGCGGGGCGAGGTGCAGGGAGAGTGGGATGGGACGCAGGACGGAGTACTACAAGGAACACTTTAGTGCCCCCTTCCTGTGGTCACCCTCTTGTCACTTTCCAGTTCATCCCTTCCAGTCCTAACCATAACCTACAGAACAGGGACCTATGACTTTTATTAGCTTCAGATAGTGATTTTCCGTTTCTCCACTCTGAGCCCAACCTCCCACCCCCGAACCCTAGCCCCTGATAACCGCCATTTCGCACTCTTGTGATCCCAAAGTCTCCTTCCAGGACTGGAAAAACTGCGGGTGGACACTGATGTTGGCTGGAGGGCCCTGAAAAATGGCTTAGCCGCTGGTATGGCAGTGTAACCTCAGAGTCTCTCAGGGTCCGCTTTCCTATGAAGCCAAACTGGCCATCCCTCCCACAGGATCTGGAACACCCATTTTTCAGCCCCCAAAAGGGTAGGAGTTCCAGGAGCTAAAGGAGAGGGCTGGTGGTAGCAAGACGTGCCTGCAAAGTGAGAGTAGGAGTGTATTAGCCAGAAGGGGCCTCTATTGTGTGACCCTCTGTCCACACTTTCCCAGTCCCCCCAGTAGCTTTTATAAGCGCTGCCACGTTTATTTCTCTTCCTTCCGTTTCTCGGAACAGTACTGGTGTGGGGTGCGGGGCCCGAGTGTCAAAAACAAAACAGAACCCATACTGGCTGCCAGATAGAGTAAGAGGATTCTTTACCAAGTCTACCAAAGTCGTTCAGCTTGCCCCTCTTCCTCTCCCTGCCTCCCACCGAAAAGAGCTGGAACTGAGTGCTGTGTTTACAAAACCGGCTAGAAGTGGGCGAGGCAGAGACGCCTAAGGCCTCCGACACCCCATCTCTAGGCTATCCCAGCTCAGAGCTCCCAGGCCGTGCCCACCCTCACACCCACCTGCCCGGATGTGGGGGGATTTTCTCCACCACCTCCTCCTCCTCTTCCTCGAACAGGTTACAAGCACGTCTGTGCACAGCGGAATAGAGTTGGTACCCAGAGGAGGACAGAGAAGAGCGGTCAGAGCTTTAAGTACCTTTGCCCACGTCAGCTCCTGGTCACGTGCAAGCTATATCGCCAGTAAGCTCGGATCCCTAATTTCCACTCCCACCAGGAGTGTGAACCCCCTCCTTTACCCCACAACCTCACTTCACCCGACACACCAGGGCCTGTGACTCTTTTTTTTCTTTCTTTCCCTTTTTCTTTTGTAGCCTTGGAGGTAAAAGGAACCCGTTCACCTCTTAGTTATGATTTGCCTTTCTCAGGTTTAAGGAGGAGAGACTACATCTTTTTAAAGGGTGTTGGTAATTTCTATGTTTCTTTTGGTGAATTGTATCATCCTTTTCTGGGCTACTGGACACCTTCTTTCTCCACTCCCCACTCCCCTAGCCACTTGTGCCCACACTTTCCCCAGTGGTGTAGTTCCTGCTCCAGTGTACCAGGGAAACCCAAAGTTGAGAGTGGGGTCTGTACATTTTTAAGATTCTTCTGTTTTGTTTTCAAATCACCACGTTTTCTTTTAATAGTAACAAAATACAATTAAACAAGAATTCACAGTAGGATACAACATTTCCCATTTAAATTCCATTAATTTTTGTTAATTTTTATCCAATAGAAAATGAATTCTATTGGTCATATAGGACCATTGCAAAACTTGCTAAGGTATTTATTTGCACATCCTGTGTAATCTTCACAATTGTTGCTAAGTTTGAGACCAGTGTTGCATGAATTGTGTTAAATTTATTTTATTGAAGGTTGTGAAAACTCAGTGAGGAGGGATGATCTATGTTAACTTCACAAGGTTCAAGAATCTCCATAAACAGCAACAACAGCACAAAACTGATTTCTGTGAGGCCAGACAAGCCACCATGCTCTAGACCTTCTTCTAACAATTCTAATACAAAATGTCTTTCCCTGGACACTCACTGCTTCTCTGCTCGAGTTAACTACTCATTACCTTGGCCACATAGAACTCACAGACAACAGTCATAATTACGAAATTCATTAGGGAAGTAACTAACACTTGCAAGTAGTTAGGATAGGGCTCCAGTTAGGACAGCCTCTTCTCAGGGTTGTTTGCAGGCAGGCCTCTTTCTGTCTTTCATCCTCATGGTCTTGTCCTCTGACTTGCTTGGGAATGTGTTACAAAACTCTTAGTTCTGCCAATTATGTACCACTTCATTCTGTTAGCTTAGAGCAGTTGGATTCTAGAGGGCAAGTTGTTTTTTATTTACTTGAAATCTGGGTATAAATTGTTTGGCAGTCTTTTTATTTTGTTAACAATCAAGTGTAAGCTGATTTGGGGAGAACATTGTGCTAAGTAGTACAACACTTGTCTGTCAGTTTGCTGGACTGAGATAACTTGAGGTTGCTATGATACTGAAAGTTGTGCCACTGGTGTGTCAAATGTCATAAGGGTTACTGACAGTGGACAGGTTTTTGTGGAGCTCCCTGATTAAGGCAGACTAAGAAGCAGGATGGGCCATCTATTTCCTAAATAACTGGCCTTTGAAAACACTATGAACACCTATGAACACTAAAGGAAGAGGATAGTTATGAGAAAAAAAAATAGCAAGGGTCATGAAATGCACATAGTTTAGGAAATTGCTAAAAATGAATTGGAACACATGAACATCAACATACTAGACATTAGTGAGGTGAGACTGGCCTGCTTTGAATACTTTGAATCAGATAATTATATTGTATGCTTTGT